CTCTGTATGAACCACATCTCTATAGGAACGTAAAAAAAATCTCTCGCATGTCAAGTTATCAATCTACCCTATACCTGAGGTTTGACCCACCCTGTACCTGAGGTTTGTACTTTCCCGGCATTGTGGTGCTGATGGTTCAACCTCAGTACAAGCTTTTTAGCTATTCAGCTATTTAGCGATCAAGCTATTTAGCTATATAGCTATAAAACTCAAGTCGTAGAAAAAAGGGTTTTCTGAAAAATATTCGTTTACGTATTCAAAATTTCTTGATGTAAATAATCATATTCATTAAAACAGTGGCGTTCCCACCTAAAAAACAGATTTTGAACAAAATAGCGAATAGTTTTATTTTATCTCTACTAAAGACTTTAAGAACCTTTTATCATTCATACTTTGGCTTTGCTTGGTTTTGAACATATTGCTTGGTTTTGAACATATTGCTTGGTTTTGAACATATTGCTTGGTTTTGAACATATTGCTTGGTTTTGAACATAGATATACAAGATTCTTGTATATCTATGGTTTTGAGCTTGGTTTTTTGATAAAAATATCAGATTCAGGGGTCCATATTTCTTCAAAAATCTTTCCCTTTGCAAAAATATTTTTTTTCAACAAAACCTTGTATATGTTTGCGCAAAGTGGCAAAAAAAATGTGTACGGTTTTACTTGCTGAATTGTTGGCGTATAAAGTATCAAAGAGTATAAAAACTTGCCTTTTATGTCTAGTCCCCCCCCCCCCGTTCACCAAAAATCCCTTTTTTCCCTCAGAAGTACAAAAACAATTTTAATTGTTGAATGTTTTAGTAAAAATAATTATAAAAACTTGTCTTTTAATGTCTAATTTTTCTCTTTTTCAGATTACCAAAATATTTGTTCCCAAAAGTTAGGTATATTTGCGCGGAGCGCTATAAAACTTTTCATGGTTTTACTTGCTGAATTTTTGTTTAAAAAATATAAAAAGGATTAAAAAACTTGCTTTTTTATGTCAAATTTTTAATTTTTTTCACCACATCATAAAAAATCATTTTATAAATAAGGCTCCCCTATTCCTCCCCCCAGGGGGGGAGGTG